TTATTTATTTATTTATTTATTTATTTATTTATTTATTTATGTGTGTGCACACATGTGCACCATGGCACACATGTGGAGGTCAGAGGACACCTAAAGGAGTCTTCTCTCTTTCCATGTGGGTCCCTAGCATCACACTCAGATCATCAGGCTTGGTGGCAAATGCCTCTACCTGCTGAGCACCCCCTACCCAGTTTTTTGAGACAGAGTCTCCATGGTCCTGGGGCTCCCTGAACTGGCTAGGGTGGCTGCCAGCAAGATCGAGAGATCTTCCTGTCTCCATGTTGCCTAGCCCTAGGATTATAAACACTAAGTACCACACCCACTTAAAAAAAAATGTGGGTGCTAGAGATAGAACTCGGGTCCTCATGCTTGTGTAGCAAGTACTTTCCTGACTGAGCCATGTACCTACAGGGCCCCACAAGTAAGAGGAAGGAGATAAACTGGTCAGTATATATGAAAGCTAAAATTTTCTTCTTAAAAAAATTTAATTTGCTTTACTTTAGTATGAGTATATGTGTGTGGGCATGCATGCCATAGTACAAGGGTAGAGGTCAGAGGACAATCTATAGGAGTCTTCTCTCTTTCCACCACAAGGGTCCTGAGGACCGAACTCAGGTCATCAGGTTTAGCAGCAAGTGCATTTACCCACTGAGTCATCTTGCTGGCCCCACACTTTCTCTTTTACACTTCAAATATGTGCCTATAATACGAAGAGGCCAGTTGGCAATGCTAAGCTAAGTAGCTCTCTGCATCAGCCTGGTATCACCCCTTTCCTTAACCCTCCATGGTTTCTCCATCCTTAGTCCCTGTCTCTTCCACTTCCCTGTTCATATACTTTCCAGGCATCAATCTCTTGGGCCTTTGCCTCTTCATTGACACAATAAATAATGTTCCTCCTGCCCTGGGTCTTTGCTCTTGTTATTGGACGCAGTCCTATTTGTCATCCCAAGCTACTTGACTTCTCTTTGTCTTTGAAATTTTACTTTACACGTCATCTCAAGTAGGTCTTCCATTATTCCCTGCTAGACTAAGTCTTCATTTTGCCCAGAGCAAATTTCAAAAGAACATTACATAGCTATTTGTGTGCTTTTTGGCTTAATCTCCTCTACAGATGATAGACTCCATGGACACATCTGCTTTATTTTCTGGTATCCACAGGGTCTACCACAGGTCCCAGCACAGGGCAAAGGTCCCCACCAATGTTCAGTAAATGATTAAAATAAGCATGTGGGGCCAACAAGATGGCTCAGTGGCAGAATGACGCTGTGCAAACCCAGAGAACTGAGTTAGATTCCCAGGACTCACATAAAGGTGGAAGGAGAAAACCAATTCCACAAAGTTGTACTCTGACCTCCACACAGGTTACATAGCATGTGTATGCCCACAAACAAACATCATGCACATACAATACTAACAAGAAAAAAAGAGAAAATAAGCACATATTTCCCCACTGTTTCTCAGTGGACATATATACTTTGCATGGTCCGTTTCTTTCCCATTGAATTTCCTTTTCCTCTCAAGAACAATAAAGAATAGAAGATCAAGTAAAAAATCTATTATAAAAATATATTTAAATTATTTATTTATTTTAATTTTATGTGTACCTGAGTATCTTACCTGCAAGTAAGTACACTCATGCACACAGTACCTGTGGAGGCCAGAAGAGTGCTCCTAACCCCTGAGTCATCTCTCCAGTACCCAAATCTCTGCATTTCTTTTTTTTAATTTTAAAATATTTTATTTATTACTTTTATTTTATGTCACGTGTATGAGCGTATTGCCTGTATGTAAGCAAGTGTACCTGTGTCATGCAGTGCCGACAGAGGTCAGAAGAGGGTGTCGGATCCCCTTGAACTAAAGTTATAGATGGTTGTTAGCCACCATGTGTGTGCTGGAAACCAAACCTGGGCCCTCTCTAGAGCAGTCAGTGCTCTTAACCACTGAGCCATCTCTCCAGCTCAAAAATCTCTGTATTTCTTGAGACACAGTCTCACTACAGAGCCCAGACTGACCTTGAATTTGTGATCATCCTATCTTAGTCTCTTGAGTGCTGAGATCACCACACTCAGCAGAAAAAACCTTACACCTGGTATTTTATGGAATTCAAATCTCTCCACTTCCATTCATTAAGGGAAGGACACACACATTTCTCAGATACTCAACAAGAAAAAAATGAGCCAGGCTAGGGAGATGGCTCAGAGTGATGGTTTGCAGAGGACCCAGGTTTGTTTTCCAGCACTCACATGGCAGTAACTATAGCTCCAGGGGATCCGATGCCCTCTTCTGGCCTCTGTGGGCATTGCATACATGAAGTGTACTTGCGCACATGTAGTGTACTTACATACATGCAAACATTCACAGACATAAAATAATATTTTTTAAAGAAAAAAATACTGTGGTATATTCACTGTAAGTCTCTCAAAACATTGCTGGAGAATCCCTTCAAAGAATTACTGATATTATATAAAATATCTTATAGGTTCTGAAATAAGCTCTAAATTTTTTTTTTCATAAAGAATTTTAACTTAGTGGGAAGCAGTGGCTCACACCTTTAATCCCAGCACTCGGGAGGCAGAGGCAGGTGGATCTCTGTGAGTTCAAGGCCAGCCTGGTTTACATGGCAAGTTCCATGTCAGTTAGGGATACAGGGAGACCCTGTCTCAAAAAGACCAAAAAATTAAAAAAAATTATTTATTATCTTTATTTTATGTGTATGAGTGTATTGCCTGCATGTAAGTGAGTGCACCCGTGCTGTGCAATACCACGGAGGTCAGAAGAGGGCTTCAGATTCCCCCGGAACTGGAGTTAAGGACGGTTCATAACTGCCATGTGGGTGCTGGGAATCGAACCTGGGTCCTCTGCAAGAGGAGTCAGTGCTCTTAACCACTGAGCCATCTCTCCAGCCACCCCCCCCCATTTTTAAACTTACAATAGACTTGTATGAAATGAGTATCTTTAATAAGAACCATTTATTTATACATCAAAATAGTTAACTGGGGCTGGCAAGATGGCTCAACAGATAAAGGAGCTTGTGGCCAAGACTAATGAGTCCACATGGTAGAAGGAGAAAACTGACTTCCTGCATGTTGTCCTCTGACCTCAACATATATGCAATGGCACATGTGACCCCCTCCATCATACTCCCAAATAAATAAACATAATAAAAATAGTTAACAGGTAGAGAGCTGGCCTTAAAAGAATCATAACCAATAAATCTAAGGAAAGAACAGAATAGAATCTGTTCCTAAACAAAGCATGCTGGGAATGTAGATTACAAAGCCTACTTGTGTTTTACTTTCTTCCCAGTACCAGGATTGAACCTAGAGACTGATGTATGCAATCTACCTGAGCTATAGCCCTAGGCTGGATTTATTTATTTGTTTTGGGGGATGGTTTGTTTTGCTTTTTTATTTTGAGACAAGGTCTAAGTTGTCCAGGCTGGTCTTGAACTCACTCTGTAGCTCAAGGCAGGACTTGAACTTGCCATCCTCCTGCCTCAGCCTCCTGAGTATCTGGGATCACAGACCTGTACTACTGACCCAGTTTGAAACATTCCTCTGAAAGGATAAGGACACAGCCAACAGCTGGTCACACTTGGGAGTCTGATGGTCAAAGTACGAAGGTTACTGACATGAACATTTAGGGATTCCCCTCTTTTCTGTTTGTTGAGACAAGCTCTCACTCTGTAGTACCGACTAGCTTGGAACTTAGTAGCCTAGGCTAGCATTGAACTTGTGGTAATCCTCTTGCCTCAGCTTTCCAAGTGCTGGGATTTCAGGTATGCACCATCAAGCCTGGCTGGGATTTCTTTATGGATGGTGTTGGCCATCAGAGCCCCCTGAGATGGTGAAGGAACAGGGGTAGGTGTGGCCTGCACAGCCTAACAGTCTTGTGTTACCTTGTCAAGACAAGTGCTGAGTTTGCACTTTTTCTGCTTTGGTTGCAAAGAAGTGAGCCAGCCCCTGGAAGCAGTGATTTCTGAGCTGACTTTGCTGTGGCACATGTGACCCTGTGACACCTACCTTCTTGTGTATCCCAGAGGAGCCAGAATTGAGCGTGCTTTCATCATCCTGCATCATGACCAGCTCGGAGCTGCTCTCGTCCATGACTTCCTGCATGCTGTTCACACTGCTGCTCTGGCTGCTGGTGCTCACTGACATGCTGGGGATGGAGTGGTTGCTGCCCAGGCTGTCCACTTCCCTGTTCAAGTTGCTTCCATGTTCACTGTCCTATAAAAACAGACACTGGGGTTAAAAACAAAGACTGGACATCAAGTGCTGCCCTGTCAATGAGGTGCTGAGCACACCCAATTAATTCTAAAGCCACAAGTTGCTTTTCTACCAATGTGTAAAGATCAATTCTGGGTGTGTGTATATGTATGTGCATGCATGTGCACATGGAGGCCTTGGGTGTTAGTCCGCCATCCACCTTGATTTTTGAGACAGGGTCTCTCACTGGCCTGGAACTCGCCAATAGGCTAGGCTGGCTGGCCAGAGAACCCTGGGAATCCTCCTGTCTCTGCCTCCCCAGTGCTGGGATTACAAGGGCACTATTATTCCTAGCTTTTGTCTTTAAAACATGGGTTATGGGGATGGAACGCAGGTCCTCAAGCTTGCATAGCAACTTATTGACTGAGTCACCTCCCTAGCTCCTCAAAGGTCAGTTTTTGTGGAGGGTCTCAAAGACTCCCTACCACATTCAGACAACTCCCACTCACTTCCATGTTCCACGCAGGGGCCACTTTGGATGTGAGTCTTAAGAGTCCAAATGCTGGGGCTGGAAACATGGCTCAGCGGTTAAGAGCACTGACTGCTCTTGCAGAAGACCCAGGTTCGATTCCCAGCACCCACATGGCAGATAACAACTGTCCTAACTCCAGTTCCAGGGGATCCAACACCCTCTTCTGACCTTCATGGGCATTGCACGACATGGGTACACCTACTTACATGCAGGCAATACGCTCATACACATAAAATAATAAAATATTTTTTTAAAAAGGACTCCAGCCAGGCGTGGTGGCGTATACCTTTAATCTCAGCACTCGGGAGGCAGAGGCAGGAGGATCTCTGTGAGTTCAAGGCCAGCCTAGTCTACATAGTGAGTTCCAGGACAGCTGGGGCTACAGGGAGATCCTGTCTCAAGAAAAAAAAAAAAAAAAGGACTCCAAATGCTACTATCCTGGGGTTTGCGGCCTCCCATGACCATAACTCATGGTATTACTACTTGGCTCATAGTGTTATTCCAGGTTTGGAAGAGTTCCTTGGGAACATCAAGGTGTTCCAGAGAGAGAGACTGCTGGCCACCAAATGAGTGACCTCTGGGATAGCTGCAGACATGGCAGGTGTCACCTGAGACTGGAGTGGGCCGGAAGAGGTGACTAGCCACAGGCTCTTCTGCAAATCATTATCCAGTAACTTTGTATGGAAGCAGGGATATTAACTCTATTGTCCTGGATAGGAAATTAAATTCTGACTCCTAGAAGCAATTCTGTCATGCTTCCCTCTGTGATTTCACTAAAAATATCTGTTAAGTAGAGCCAGGTGTGGTAGTGCACGACTTCGACCCCAGCACTTACAAGGCAGAGGCAGGCAGATCTCTGTGAGATCTAGGCCAGCTTGGTCTATGTAGTGAGTTACAGGTCAGCTGGGGCTACAAGGAGACCCTGTCTCAACCCCTCCACCAAAAAAAATTTCTTTTGTTAAATAATACTGGGATTCATCACTATTGGTCCAGAGATGATTACTTGAAAAGTGGTGGAATAATGAGAATATGTAATTTATCTATCATAGTGGAGTATATTTTAAGATTAAACAAGTAACTAAATCAATTTAGCTACAAGTAAGCCCTATCTTCAAAGATCTCTTCTATGCACATATAAATTTAGCAAATTGTTACTTAGCCATAGGACTATAAGCAATCATTCAGTAATACAAAATGGTAGACAAGACACTATATTTTAATGGATTCATTTTCCCAATTAAAGGGGAAACTCAAGCTGTGTGGTTCTATACATTCAAATCAAGGGATTTTATTGTTCAATTATAATTTTTTACTTTATTATTAGTAATACACACACACACACACACACACACACACACACACACATTGCAGAGGACTGCTTTTCAGTTCCCAGCACCCACATGGCAGTTAACAATTGTCTCTAACTCCTGTTCTGGGGAATCCAACCTCTTCTGGACTTGCTGGCACCAGGCACTCATGTGGTACACATATATACATGGCAGACAAAACACTCAGACACATAAAAAAATGAATTAAAACAAAACCCTTTCACTCTCTGCACTTTTTCATCACTCATTCACCCCAACACCCACTCTAACATATTTTTCATACTACTAATGGTCCTATAAAACTAATTTACTGAGGTCATCAAGGAGGCCCTTCTTTGACTTGATCCCTGGGATCTCTGACTGCACTTGAGGCTGCTGACTTTGATACCTGTGCTGCCTTTACGACCCCACCCCCACAGCTTGAGCTCTCTTCCTGCTTGCCAACCAAACCCCTGTTCCATTCTTTAAAGGCTCTTGACCCAACTCCCTTTGCCAGACTTTTTGTGTGCTAGATGGATGTGTTGCAACCAATGGCTAGACATCACTGTCTGGTGCTCCAACTCATCCCCTTTGCCTTCAACTAATTCTTTTTTTGTCTTTCTGAAGCAGGGTCTCCCTGTAGCCCCAGGTGTCCTGGAACTCACTATGTAGACCAGGCTGGCCTTGAACTCACAAAGCTCCGCCTGCCTCTGCCTCCCAAGTGCTGGGACTACAGGCGTGCATCACCACGCCTGGCTAATTCTTTTTTTAAAAAAGATATTTTAATTTTCTGTGTATGAGTGCTTACCTGCATGTATGTATGTGCACTGTGTGTATACAGTGCCCATGGGGGGCCAGAAAGGGCATCAGGTGCCCTGGGACTGGAGTTACGGATGATTGTTAGCTGCCATGTGGATGCTAGGAACTGAACCCAGGTCCAGTGCTCTTAATGGCTGAGCCATCTCAACCAATTCTTTTTTCTTTTTTTTTCTAAGAAACTGCACCTACTTAATTGTGTGTGTGTGTGTGTGTGTGTGTGTGTGTGTGTGTGTGTGTGTGTGTGTATGCACATATATGGAGGTCAGAGAACAATTTGAAGGAGTTATTTTTCTCTCCTTCCACCATGTAGGTCCCAAGGATTAAACTTAGGCCATCAGCCTTGGCAGAGAGTGCCTTTACCTGCTGAGCCATCTCGAGGGCCCTCAACCAAGTCTTTTAGCTGAAAGAACAGGAAGCTATCTTCCTCTGAACCTGCCATCTGGATGGTATGTCAGCAGAACTGGATGCTGGGACCTGATGTTGAACAGGTACCATGCTGAAATCACCACAAAGCTGTTCTTACTCTTTCCCCGTGGCTCTTTTCTTGTTTGAGACAGGATCTCACTACCGAGCCCACGCTGGTCCCAAATTCATCATCTTCCTGCCTCAGCCTCACAAGTGCTGAGATTTCAGACATGTACTATCATGTCCAACTTCTCCTTGATACCTACATGCTTCTAGGCCACCCAGGTTCAGATGTTTAGTCACCTCAAACTCCTTCATCACTGTCTCTTGCAGTGACTGCCATGTATTAATAAACCTGTCTGTATAACATTTCTCCTAAGTGTGCCTTCCTCCTTCCCATGGATACTGTCCTCATACTTAACTCTTGCATGGACCCTTTCCTGGGATGTCTTCCATCCTCATCCATTTATACTCTGCAGCCAGCATACTCTTCCAGAAGCAAAGTGCTTTCCTGAGTCTAAAATGAACTATACCATAGGTGGGGAAGGGGCTCAGGAGCTATTGATAGCTGATGGCTGATGGGGAATAAGACTCAGTTTAGGATGGTTGGTGGTCTCTGGTAGGTTGCCTGTGCTCCAGTGGATGGCCCCACACTCATGCATACATGGGCCACACTAATTGGTCTCAGTGGGTTATATTTAAAGAAAAAAGAAGAGGTCATGAAGTTGGGAGGGGGACGTCAAGGGCCTTGGAGGAGTTGGAGGGAGAATGAATATTGTTGAAATATGCATGTATAAAATTCTTGAAGAATAAATATAATTTAAAAGAAGATGTGCTGTGGGGGCTGGAGAGATGGCTCAGTGGTTAAGAACACTGACTGTTCTTGCAAAAGACCTGGGTTCGAGTCCCAGCACCCACATGGCAGCTAACAACTGTCCGTAACTCCAGTTCCAGGGGATCCGACAGCCTCTTCTATCCTCCTTGGGCATTGCGTGACACAGGTGCACTTACATACATGCAGACAATACACGCTTACACATAAAGTAAAAATAATATTTTTAAAAAGGAGGAAGATGTGCTGTACATTTCATGAAAGTCACGCCAGCCCACCTAATCTCCAGCAGCTGTGACATCTTTCCCTGTACTAGCCTCTGTGTGCAGGCTTGAGTATGTCTCCACAGCACTTCTTAGATGTGATCTTAGTGAGAGAAGGTACATCATCTGAGACCCTGTGCATCTCTCAAGTCAGAGAGCACCAATTATGTTTCCATCCCCCAGAACGTTTGTCATAGCCACCAGTCCAGAACTTTCTTTCATAGTAGCTGAAACAAGAGGAACTTACTTCTTCTTCTTCCTGGGACTCGTTCAAGGGCCCATTCCGGGTCTCCTGGAAAAGGATTTTTTTCATTTTTCGGTACTGTAGGTTATCTAGCTCCCGGACAGCATCTTTTGTCCTCTGTATGAGGTCAATGAGGACTCGAGGTGGCCGTTCCCGCCGAACAAAGTCATGCTGATTCAGAGAGGAGAACAAAAGACGATGAACAAATGCATCGTTCGTGCAAATGTAAGCACACAAGCAAGTAGACAGACAAGGAACAGCCCTGTGATTTTGGAGGAATAGCTTGAATCCTCTGTCTTGATACCCCTGTGGTGCATATGTTACATAGAGAGACAAGGATGCATGGCTAGAGAGATGGCTCAATGGCTAAAAACACCGATTGCTCTTGCAGAGGACCTGGGTTTGTTTCCTAGCACTCATGTGGTGGCTATCACCTGTAACTCCAGTTCTAGGGCATCTGACACCCTCACCTGGACCCCATGGGCAGTACATACACATGGTGCACTTCCATACATGCAGGCAAAACACTCATACACATAAAATTTAAAAAGAAAAAATATATATTTTAAATATTTAATTTTTATTTTATGTGTATGGGTGTACTGCCTGCATGTATGGAAGTGCACCTGTGTCATGCAATGCTCTCAGAGGTCAGAAGAGGGCATTGGATCCCCTGGAGGTACAGCTATGTATGGATGGTTTTTAGCTGGCATGTGGGTGCTGGGAATTGAACCTAGGTCCTCTGCAAGAGCAGCCAGTGCTCTTAACCGTTGAGTCATCTCTCCAGCCCCAAAAGAAAAAAAATATTTTTGTCTTTTTGAGACTGGGTCTCTCTGTAGCTGCAACTGGCCTGGGACTCACTATGTAGACCAGGCTGGCCTTGAACTCATAGAGATCCACTTGCTTCTGCTGGGATTACAGGCCTCTGCTGGGATTATAGGAGTGTGCCACCACACCTGGCTAAGAAAATCTTTTTTAAAAAATATAGTAATGTTTTACCTTCTTCCTTAAGCTTCTCTTTGTAGACTTTGTCCCATGATTTCCATAAGAATTTTTATTATATGTATTTAAGGTATACAACATGATGTTTTGATATATCCAGTGAAATGATTACTAGAGAGAGGCAAGTTAACACTTTCATCCTGTCCCATGGTCCCCTTGTGCATGTGGCAAAGGTGCCTAAAATCTACTGCCTTGAAAATGTCCACAGCACACTAGACTATTATGGCCTAGACTTCAGGTCACACTTTAGGTCTCTACGTTTTTGGCTTTATATTGTGTAAGTGAAACACTGGGCCTTTACCTCCACCTCCCCATTTCTTTAAAAAAATTTTATTACATATTTATTGTGGTGATTTGAATGAGGAATGCCCTTCCCATAGGCTCCAAGTATTTGAACACTTGGTCAGTTGGTGGTGCTGTTTTGGGGTGGGGGATGGAATTCCTAGGAGGGGCAGCCTTGTTGGGGGAAGTACATCACTGGGGGTTGGACTTTAAGAGTCCAGAGCCCCATCCCATTTCGACTTTGTCTCTCTGCTTCCTGTGCATGCTTAAAGATAGCCCCCAGCTTTCTGTTCTGGCTGCCTCCTGTGGCATGCCTCTCAGCTACGATGAACTCTTATTCCTCTGGAACCATATGTCCAACAAGCCCTTCCTTTTCTAAGTTGCCTTGGTCATGGTATTTTATCACAGCAACAGAAAGTAGCCAATACATGTATATTTTGTGTGTGTGTAGATCAGAGGACAGCTTGAGGGAGTCAGTGCTCTCTTTCTACCATGCAGGTCCTGGGGGTTGAACTTAGGCTGTCATCAAGCACTTTTACCCACTGAGCCATCTTGGCTGCCCCAAATCTCCCCATTTCCATCCCTGAAACCACCTTTCTACTCCTTTGTCTTTAATTTGCTAATTTTTTTTGTTTAGATTCCATATATAAGTGAGATCTTTCAGTACTTTTGTTGTGTCTGGCTTCATTTACTTGTAGATGCCCTCTGGATTCATCCTGTCGTACATATACAGTGACAATTCTCTCTCGCCTCTTATTTCCCCCTACTCTCTCTCTCCCTCTCTCTTTTATTGAGACAGGGCCTCATGTAGCACAGGCTGGAACTGAAATCACTATGTAGCTGTGGATGACCTTGAACTCCTGATAATCCTGCTTCCGCTTCCCTAGTGTTGCAATGACAGGTGTATACTACCATGCCTGACTACAATCTCTCTCTCTCCCTCCTCACCCTCTCCTCTTTTTGAGACAGGGTCTCCTTGTAGCCCCAGCTAGCCTGGAACTCACTATGTAGACCAGGCTGGCCTAGATCTCATAGAGATCCACCTGCCTCTGCCTCCTGAGTGCTAGGATTAAAGGTGTGTGTGACCATACCTGGCTGAGATCTCCTTTTTTAAGGCCGAAAAGTATTTCACTGTGTGTGTGTGTGTGTGTGTGTGTGTGTATGTGTGTGTGTGAGCATGTGTCTCTGTGTGTATGTTTTGAGTATATGTGTGTATGTGTTAGTGCTTATGTGTGTGAATACATGCGCGTGAATGCATGTGCATGAATGCATGTGTGTATCAGTTTGTCTTTTCTTCTGCTGATGAACATGTTGTTTCCACATCTTGCCTGTTACAGCTATTGCTGTGATAATTACGGCACGCAGACATCTTTATGAGAAATTAATTCAATTTCTATGAACCCAGAAGAGGACCATTCAATCAGATGATAGTTTGGTTTTGATTTTCTGAGGAGCCTCCACACTATTTTCCACAATGGTTGTACCAACTAACATTCCCACCACAAGAGTTCCCTTTGTCCTGGAGCCTTGTTGTCTTGAGAGTCACTTCATAATACAAGTAATGAACAGCACCAGAACTTCCACAGAAGGTCTGGCCCTTCTCCAGGCCAGATGGACACAGCCTGCCTTTGTTTCCTGTTGCCTTGCCCCCTCCTCTCCACCTCATACTACCTTTGGGAAAACAGACTGCTATCATATTTTGTTTTCTATTTCTATCAGATACAAAAAGAAAAGAACTGCATAATGAGTTCCAGGACAGCTGGGGCTACAAGGAGACCCTGTCTCAAAAAGAAAAAAAAAAACAAAACAACAAAAAACAACTCTCTGCTTCTTGGATAAAGTCTGGTCTGAGGCACTGGGTCCCTGCCCTTACTTCCCCATCTTCCCCCTTCTATGCAATGAACGCACATCTTAGAGAACTCTGGCCCTGGTCCTGCAGTGGCCACCTCTGTGTTTTGCTCATTTTGTTACTTGGCCTTCAGTCCTAACTCCTCACTTTCACTGATCCAGTGCAATCAAAACGTCCAGACCCATTTCAGAGAGTAATTTATGAGCTAGGCATTAATCCCAGCACTTGGAAGAGGCAGGTGGATCTCTGTGAGTTTGAGGCTAGCCTGATCTACATAGTGAGTTCCAGGTTACCTAGGGTTATACAGTGGTATCCTGCCTCAGAAAAATGAAAAAAAAAAAAAAAGCTTTGGTTCCCTATAAATTAGTAAGGAAAAACTCAAACCAACAATCAATAGGTAGACGGGCAAAGAGAGATCACAGGAAGAAAACAGACATGGTTTTGCAACTCGGGAAAGATGTCCCATGTGGCTTAGAAGGAGAACTAGAAATGAAAACTACAGTCAAAGGGATTGGACTAGGGATGCAGCTCAGCTGATATAGTGCTGGCCTTGCATGCATGAGGCCCTGAGTTTGATTTCTAGCAATGCAAAACAAATAAACAAAACAACAAAACCCCAAACCCAAACAAATGAAAAACAAACCCAAATAAAACCAAAAATTAAAACAAAAGCTGTAGGGCTGGAGAGATGGCTCTGTGGTTAAGAACACTGACTGTTCTTGCAGAAGACCCAGGTTTGATCCCAGCACCCACATGGCAGCTAACAACTGCCCATAACTCCAGTCCCAGGGGATCTGACAGCCTCTTCTGTCCCCTGGGGACATTGCACCACACGGGTGCACTTACCTACATGCAGGCATAACACTCATACACATAAAATAAAAATAATAAATAAAATATTTTTTTTTAAAAAGCTGGGGAAAAAAACCACTACCAACAATAGAAAGTCCAAAACAAAACCAAAGAACAACAATAAAACTACAGCCAGAACAGTTTTTCACCAGTCCAATGAGCACAATTCAAAACCGCTCATACTTTGCTAGGGGGATTATAAATTGCAGAATGATTTGGTAGTATGCATTTAAATGTAAGATCCACCTTCCCTTTAATGAGCTATAGCACATCTAGGAATACATTCTTTTGATGGACTCACACAGGTGCAAACCCCCACCTGGTCAAGGATGTTCACTGCTGCAGTATGGGACAGAAAAGATTGGAAATCCCCAGGTAGGAGGTGGGGCTATGGGCACAGATGAGTGGTGGACTGGTTGCCTAGCATGTACCAGGTCCTGGGTTCAATCCTTAGCACTGAAAAGAAATGTGTGTCAGTGTGCTGTGTGTTTGTGATGTATGTACACATATGTGTGTGGGTGTGCATGCCTGTGAGCACATATGTAGAGGCCAGAGTAGTATATGGGGTATCCTCTTCTATCATTCTGGAATGTCTTCTCATGAGATGGGGTTTCTCACTGCACCTGGAGCTAGGCTGGAGGCCAGCAAGCCCAGTGATCCTCTTGGGTTTGTACCTAGCTCTGCCTAGCTTTTTACGTGGGTGCTGGGATGATCAGAACTCAGGCCCATATGCTTGTGCAGCAAGTTTTCTTACCCACTGAACTACCACCCCAGTCCTAAAAAGATACTAAAAAATCTATTAAAGTAATAAAGTCATATAAAAATGTGGTAGCTCTGCATATAGTCAAATGGACCAATATACTAACTAAATTGTAAAGTAAAAAAATAAAATAGTTTCATGATTTGCTACTATTTGTGCAAAAATGAAAAGAATGTTAACTTTCATGTGCATTAGAGCTCTCAGAATGGACACATATCAGCCCTGGTGACAGAGCTGCTAACTCTGGAGGGACCTGGGACAGGAAGGGTATTTCCCTTCCATTGTAGTTTCACTTTTTGAAATCTGTATTGCTTACTTAAGAGGAAGTCACTATAGTCTCTCTCTCTCTCTCTCTCTCTCTCTCTCTCTCTCCTTTTTTTTTTTCTTTTTGAGACAGGGTCCTCTGGTATCCTCAGCTGACCTGGAACTCACTTTGTAGACCAGGCTGGCCTCGATCTCACAGAGATCTACCTGCCTCTGTCTCCTGAGTGCTGGGATTAAAGGCATGTGCCAACACATCTGGCTACAGTATAGTCTCTTAAACTATGCTAAGTAAATAAGTGTGGGGGATTTAAATTCAGCATTTATCACCAGTCCTTTCGCCAAGTTTGCTGGTCCCCAAATGATCCATCCTCCCTCCCTCCCTCTCTTCCTTCCTTCATGTCCTCTTTTCATTTTGGCGTCATCACTGGGCAGTGTTTTGGGCAGAAGAGCTCAGGGGCTGTGTGTCTGGATCTGTAAGGCTAACTGAGCCAGCTGAAGAGCAGGTCACATTCTGGGCTTCCATTGCTTTAACTCAGAGCTCCACATTGCTCCGCCATTTTCTGGCTTCATGTTTCTCAAGTAGAGGGTCTGAAACTACCTGACTTTTCTACCCCAAATAAACTTTTTAAAGAAAATGTTAAAATTTTCTTTATTCTTAGGGGTCAGGAATCTCACCAGGTTATGATTTACTGAACTCTAAAGGGCAGGCTCTGAAAGCCCTGATCACCTGAAGCAGGCCTTTCCAGCTCCAGTTCCTCTGGATCCCTGTCCCTGGTTTGTTTGTTTATGCCCTGTGTCATACATTTCTTTCCTTTCTTCGTATTAAGTTTTTTGCTTTTCTTCTGTAGTGCTAGGGATGGAATCCAGGGCCCTGAGTGTGCTAGCCAAGCACTCTGCCGGCCTCTGCCTCACAAGTTCTGGGATTAAAGGCATGCACCACCACATCCAGAGCAAAAGAATTTTAAATTACATTTTATTTATTTAAGATGGCCTTTAATCCTAGCCCTTGGGAGGCAGAGGCAGGTGGATCTCTGTGAGTCACATAGTGACTTCTGGGTAGACTGGGACTAGGCAGGCCCTGTTAAAAACAAAACAAAACAAAAACAACCCAACATTTTATTTATTTATTTTGTGAGTGTGTGCACATTTACAAGAGCCACAGTGCACGTGTGGAGGTCTGAGGACAACTTATGGGAGTTGGTTCTCTCCTTTCATTGGTTAGTTTCTGGGGATCAAACTCAGATCATCAGCCTTGGCAACAAGCACCTTCACCTGCTGAGACATCTTGCTGGTCCTTCTATGATCACCTTTATTTTTCTCATGCTTATTTGCTGCTGGAAATACCCTGCACAGGCTAATAATAAATAAAACTAACACTTTATTTGTTTTGTGTGCGTGTGCACATTTACAAGTGCCACACTGCACGTGCACAGGCGGTTTCACTGTATTTCTTTGATGCTTCTGTCCTCAACCCCCGTTAGGTTTTTCTCTCTACTTGCTTTTTGGGTCTTATTGTTGCCTGTTTCTTTAAATTTGCAATGCAGGCAGGCAACTCTTCAATGATAAGGCAGCTGTCTTAAAAACTTGACAAATTTAGCTAATCCTTCTTAAAAATAAATAAGCAGAAATGCTCATTGCAAAATTCAGCCAATCTGGAGATGAAACAAATAACAGGACAGAATAAACACACAGAGAAAAGAGGTTAGAGAGCGGATCACTGTGTGCTAAGCAGATGTTGAACTAAAAAGATTTCCACCCACTACACGGGTATTGCCAGACCACAGCACCATTGTGTAGTCAACATAGTACACGCAAAGAGATATTCAAAACTATGACATTTAAATCAAATCAATATGTAACTACTAAAAAAAAAATCAGAAAGAAATGTAGAACTGAAAAAAGATTACAGAATGAGACATTTTTGTTGTTTAAGACAGGGTGTCCTGTGGCCAAGGCTGGCCTTGAACTCCTGACCCTCCTAGCTCTACTGCCTGAGCAGGCAGGGTGTGATGGTGCGCCCTCTAATGCCAACACTGGGAAAGCTGAGGCAGGAGGACCACAGTGAGGTTATAGGCATGCCACCAAGGCCTTGAATGTGGCCAACATAACACTCCTGTGGCTCATCTTATGCCCTGATGTCCTCTAAGTATCACAATATACCACTGCTAGAAGCTCTGACACTAACCTAACTCAAAATTGCAGAAATGGCATCTGAGCCATTGACAGATCCTTCTGTGAGCTGCATTCAAGTTCATGCAGATGTTAACCAGAAAAAACACTGGGATGGCGACCAGAGGAAGGAGGAAAAATTAACTTTGATTCTGACAAAACAGGAGAGGGAGGAAGGAAAAAAAGAAAAACATTAAAAAATGTCCACGGAGAAGCACAGCAGTTGTGCGTCGTGGTGACCTTCCCTCTTCATGCCTACTTCCATCTCTGGGTGAGTGACGAGGAAGCAGCTCTGAGCCAGTGTGTCACAGCACAACCCCCACCCCCAGAGGAGTGACTGATCTCAGGACTGATTGCTCAGTCCGCCACAACGGGACTTTAAGACCTCTCATCAAATGTAAATTTGAAAAATTACCCGTAATAGTTCTGCTGATGTTGGTCTCTCCTGAGGTATTTTTTGCAAGCAGCAATCAACGAATCTCCTGAAGGAGCCTGTCCTGTGTGAGCAAACAGCAAGGAGAACAGTGAGGGTCTGCGGAGCACACAGGGAAAGCGATGTGTTCTCGCTCTCTCTCTCTCTCTCTCTCTGTCTCTGTTTGTGTGTGTGTGTGTGTGTGTGTGTGTGTGTGTGTGTGTTTTACACATGTCTGGAGGCCAGAGGTTCCTGTCAGGTGTCTTCCTCAATTGCACTCCACCTTTATTTTTTTATTAAGATTTTATTTTTATTTTATGTGTATGAGTGTTTGCCTGCATGTATGGAAGTGCACCTTGTGCTTGAAGTGCCTGTGGAGGCCAGAAGAGGACATTAGATCCCCTGGAATTGGAGTACAGACAGGTGTTAGCTACTATGTGGGTGTGAACTGAACCTTGGTCTTCTTCAAATGCAGCAAGTGCTCTTAACTATTATTGAGCCATCTCTCCAGCCACTCCATCTTATTTTTTGATACACGGTCTCTCACTGAACCTGGAGAACACAGATTGGGCTAGACTGGCTAGCGAGCCCCAGGGATCCTCCTACCTCTGCCTCCTGGCACCAGGATTACAGCTGCTTAGTACTGCACCTGGAGATTTGCATCAATTCTAGAGACTGCACTCAGGCCCTCATGCTTGCACAGCGAGAGCACTTTACTAACTGAGCTATCTCCCCAGCCAGATTTGTTTAATTATACTGGAGGCCTGAACTGAAAATGACACTGAAAATTAATTCTTTTGGATAATGAGTGCGGACACAGTTTGCGCTGGTCAACATAGACATATATATTTACATGTAAGGAAGCAAGGCAAGGTCAAACCATAATATACTTCAGAAAATAATATTTATGCATAATAGTTTAATTTATATTTTTCTCCTCAAACATAACAACTTTCATAGCTTTCAGTCCATATTTTTCATTACAATTGTTAAATCCTCCATCATCCAGAACCTATAACAAGGGAGTAAAACTGGAAGCACAAGGAGTCAGAGAACCTGGGAATATGTTTTCTGAATAAAAATACTTCCTATCTCAAAAATTCCATTTTCTTTATCCTTCTTTTTTAAAAAAATATTTTATTTATTATTTATTTTATTTTATGTGTATGAGTGTACTGCCTGCATGCATATAAGTACACCCATGTCATGCAATACCTGTGGAGGTCAGAAAAGGGCACTGGATACCCTGGAACTGGAGTTACAGATGGTTGTTAGCTGCCATGTGGGTGCTGGTAACTGAACCCAGGTCCTCTTCAAGAGCAGCCAGTGCTCTTAACCACTGGGCTGTCTCTCCAGCCCCTCTTTACTCTTCTTTAAAATGGCTCATTCTCTGTAACTCTCATAGCCCAAATACTTATAAAAATGTCCTAATTTTCATCAAAGAACACCTCATCTTCTGAACAAATAATACACATGTTCTACCCTAACACACTCAAATATACATACAATATACATAACAATAGGGGCCAGAGAGATGGTTCAGTGGTTAAGAGCACTGGATGCTTTTGCAGAGGACCTAGGTTCTGTTCCCAGCCCCCACAAAGCAGCTCACAACCATCCATAACTCCAGGTCCAGAGGATCTGATGCCTTCTTCTGGCCTCTGTAAGCAATGCAGGCACAAGGTACAATTACATACATGCAGGCAAAGCACTTACATATGTAAAAATATTTTTAAAAATATTTCAGCCAGGTATGGTGGCTCACGCCTTTAATCCCAGCACTTGGGAGGCAGAGGCAGGCGGATCTCTGTGAGTTCAAGGCCAGCCTGGTCTACATAGTGAGTTCCAGGACAGCTGGGGCTACAGGGAGACCCTGTTTCAAAAAGACCAAAAAAAATTTCATTTATTATTTTTATTTTATGTGTATGAGTGTATTGCCTGAATATATATAAGTGAACTCATGGTGTGCAATGACCAGGGAGGTCAGAAGAAAGTGTTGGATCTCCCAGAACTAGAGTTATGGATGGTTGTTATCTACCATGTGGGTACTGGGAATCAAACTTGGGTCCTCTGCAAGAGCAGTTAGTGCTTTTAACCGCTGAACCATCTTTCTAGGCCCATACATTAAAAAATATCTTTAAAAAATATGTAACTAACTAACTAACTAACTAACTAACTAACTAACTATATATATATATATATATATGTATATATAACAAATATACACACAACAGTGACATGGGGAAATAACAACCTCAGCTGGGCACATCACCTCTGATGAGAAGGGCTGAGAGATGAGGTGATCAACACGTCAGGCAAGGACCTGAGGGACGAGGCCTGTGAGGGAGGCAGCAGAGTACATGTGTGGTTTCAGTTACTGCACACAGCAGGAACACAGTGCCGGCCCCAGTAGGGGCAGAAATAAAAGCTCTGTGTCTGTGTATGCAGACACCTGTTTGTGGGGCAGCCATTTCTTACTATGATATACAATTAAAGAATGCAATGCCTTCTAGGGCAGATCATTAAAATGAAATTTAATGAGAACTTTGGATACCCACAGGGAGTTTCTTGGTGGTATCTTACCAGTCCCTGGACTGCAGTGTTGGGGAGTCATTCTGGGCAATGTGGTACAGAGCACTCATTGCATTCATGTTGAAAAGCGGGGGCTTCCGCTCAGCTGGAAGAGGGAAGAAACACTGTAAGTTAGGCAGACAGAGAATCAGGAACTATTAGCTTGGCTTTGTGGCTTGGCTGACAGAGCATCCCTATCTTCAAGCCATGCGATCTGCTTACTTCAATCTTAAGGCCAGTGCAGGGGAGCCATTTGGAGGCCGCTGATCATTTATTGTCCACTGGCAAGGGCTCCCAACAGAACTTATTTCAAAAAGGGGGGGATTTATTTTTTTCAAAGATTCTCAGTAAACTGATGATTACCTGTTTTCCTAAAATAGGTATGAACATCTGCATGTGTTTTAATTAAAAAATACATATTCATTAAATAAAATCAGAAAGCTAAGTAGAACAAAGAAAATATACTCTTATGGAATGGAACTTTTTTTTGGCAACTGGATCTCATGTAGCCCAGGCTGGACTTGAACTCCTCCTGCCTCTAATGCCTCAGTGCTCAGATTTCAGATGTGTGCCACCACACCTGCCTTGAATGGAACATCATTTTTTTTATATTAAAAAAAGATATATATCTGTGTGTCTGTGTTGGGGGTATGTGTACATGTATGTGAGTGCAAGTATCCATGAAGACCAGGAGAGGGCTTTGGATCCCATGGAGCTGGGTTTAAAGGCAGTGTCGAACTTCCTGACAGTACAGTACAGGCTCTTTGTTAACTTCAGAGCCATCTCTCCAGGCACTAAACATCTTAACCATTACTGACACATAGGAGAGGTAAGACAATTCTGCTTGATGAACTCTGCTCAGCACCTCCTCAGGCCTCAGTGCTGCTGGTGGGTGGAGGAGAACTGGGAAGAAGAAAGACAATTAAGGCCTGGGTCCTACAAGTGTAGACAGAAGCTCAGTGAGTTGGGTATTGCTTTTCTTCTCTTTTCCTTTTTTTTTTTTTTGGTGGTGGGCATGGAACCCAGGGTCCTGTGTATGCTATGTGTGTAACGTACACCCAAGCTATACCCTGAGCCCCATGCCACCCCATGAAGTAAAGGATCTCTTACTGGCAGTCTCTGCTCTCATTCAACACACTGCCTGTTTGGCTTGTACTTACCTGTAATGTTTTATAAGTATCCACAACTTTCCTCGCAAGAGAAACCGTAAGATTTAAGAGCAAGTTTACAACTGAGCCCTTGTACGCTTTTATTTCTTGCCCCAGAATAAGTAAGGAAATGTTATTCACAGACCAGTTGTTTTATTTGTTGGTCGAACTAAAGAAGCTGGCCCAGTTCTGAGCACAGCTATTCTTATTAGTTATTAGCTACAGCGCAGAAGATAGATTACTACATCATTGTATTGTATTCCCCTGTGGACTCTTTACACAGTTCTTTTTCTAATCTCTGATTTCTTTAGAATATCTTCACTTTAAAAGGTTTTCTTAATTTTTACATTTACTTATTTATTTTGTGTGTGTGCACACCATAGTGTACTCTTTGGAGGTCAGAGGACAACCTGCAGGAGTTGGTTCTCTCGTTCTACCATTGGGTCCCAGGGACTGAACACAGGTTGTTGGGCTTGGCAGCAAGCACCTTTACCTGCTGAGCCCTCCCCTCATAGGCCCTTGCTTTTATGTCAAGGCTGTACTCTTAACCACATCTAAAATGAGTTTAATCTATGGAAATCTAAGAAACAGCATAAGAACTTAGGATAGATGTTTGAGAGAAGCCATTTTTAGTCACAGGAGCAAGAATCTGTGAAAATCCTGAATGGTCAAAAGTAAAACAAGGGGCCAGGGAGCTAGCTCAGTGGCTAAAGTGCATACCATGCAAGTGTAAGGACCAGAGTTCAGATCCTCAGAACCCACGTAAGTGCCAGGTAGGCACAGCAGCCCTCCTGTAATTTCAGTCTTGGAATGTGGAGATGGGATCCCCAGAGCAAGCTGGCTAGAGAGACCAGCCATATTGGCAAGCTCTGGGTTGATTGAGAGACCTGCCTCAATGAATAAGGTGAAAGAGTGATGGAGGACGACTCCTAACATCAGCTGTGGGCCTCCACATGCATATGGACCCACATGAACACTTGCACTCCCATACATGCCAATGTTTACATACACATATGCACACCACACACATATGAAAATGAAAAAAGAAAACAAGTAAATAAAAAAATAATAAAACAAAGCACCAGAATAGACAATGCTGAAAAGCAACAAACTTCATCACTGGCAGTTCTCTGTCAGAGAAGGTAACCACATGAATGGGGATGTGGCTCAGTGGGCAGAGTGCTTGCCTAGCATGCATAAAGCCCTGGGTTCGATCTTCAGCATCAGATAGAGCAAGTAGGCATGGTGGTACAGCCTATAACTCCAACACTTGGAAGGTGGAGGCAGGAGAATCAGAAGTTCAGGGTCATCCTTGACTACACAGTGAATTTGAGGTCAGCCTGGGCTACAGGAAACCCTGCCTCAAACAAAACAAAACAAAAGATGGCTTTAGGTTTCTGACACTTTGGGGCCTCTTATGTGCTTTTACATTTTTATTTATTTAGTACATTAATTTTTGTAATGTACAAAATTACATTCCTCTACAGTCTTTACTAAACAATAGTTGCAGATTCCTCTGCAAACCCTCCCTCCCTTCCTCCCCTTACTCCTAGAACTAAGTCCAGACCTCGGAGCAGAGCCTGCTGACCTGCATCTGCATGCCCCTGGAGGCCTACAAGGCCTCATTCTGGGAAGAGATTCAGTTCCTTCCCTCTCTCCAGCCATCTTTAGCTTCACTGAAGGGACCAAGCACAAGTCACTTCACACGGCTGTTTTCTGTCTGGAACCCCAAACATTATTAGGTTATTTTTTAAAATCACTTCTTGGGTTTTTGTATTTTTAAAAAACTTTATTTTTTAACTTTTTTGAGATGAGGTCTTGCTATGCTGTTTAGACTATTCTAGAACTCCTAGGCTCAACTGATCCTCTAGTCTTATTCTTCCCAGTAGCTGAGGTCATATATGCATGTCCCTGTTTCCAGTGCTGGCTAATTCTGAACAATCCTTAGGGCTTCATCTCTGCTGTGGTTTAAATGTCAAAGGTCCCCACAAGCTCCTGTGCTTGAGCACTCTGTCCTCAGCTGGTGGTGCTATTGTGGAAGGTTGAGAAATCTAGAGGAAGTATGTCACTAGGAGAAGGTCTTGGGGTTTTATAGCCTGGCTCTACTTCCCATTTGTTCTTGGCATCCTGACAGGGGAAACAAGGTGACCAGCCTCCTTACCCTCCTGCCACCATACCTTCCCTTGCCACCATAGACTGGATCCCCTCAAACTGTGAGCCAAAATGAACCCATTCTCAAGTTATTTCTTGTCAGGTATTTGGTCACAGCAATGAGAAAAGCAATTTGTATGACCTCAGATATAATTTTGCTTCTGTGGCAATTGAATACATACTTATTAAGGGCTGAGGCTGTGCAGGTGAGCACTGTGTCTGCAGAGTATTGTGATTTCTCATGGTCTCCCATTAGATTTTTGTCATTACAAAGTATATCTTTTCCGTTTACCACTTATCACAACCCTAGTTATTTGTATCATTACTGAATGTGTGGCTCTTGCTAAACTTCATGAGGGCAGTGACGGTGTCTATTCTGTCCTTCCCTCCATTTCCAGTGCTGAAAACACCATCCAGCCTAGGAGGTAGGCCCCTATCCCCACCACAAAACCTGCTAAATAAATAAAAGGCAACCTAAAAGAATTGTATCCAAAAAGAATCTTTGTGTGGGTTGGCAAGATGGCTTAGGGGGTAAAATGCTTGCTGCCAAGCTTGGTGACTGGAGTTTGATCCCTGGGACCCACATGGTAGAAGAGGAATGACTCTGGCAAGTTGTCTTCTGACCTTTGCACATGTGCTATGGCACTCATGCAACCCTCCTTGCCTCTCACAAATAAATGTAATGTTAAAAAAAAACAAACCCAAAACTTTGTGCTGTGAGAAGACACAAAAATGATGGAGAAGAGACCAAGCCTTGGGGTTTACATCAGATACCATATGATGGCCTCACCATCAGAGGGACTAGAATCCCTCATGCAGTAGCAAAAGGTAAAAAATCCAAGCCACTCAGAGGAACACTGACTTGCATAGGAAAATCCATGGAAAAGGTGACTAAATAAAGAAAGCAGAGATTTAAAAAGAGGTTATGAGTGCTGGGGATGTAGCTCAGTTGGAAGAGTAAGTTCAAAGTCTTGGGTTCAATCTCACCTACCAGGTGTGGTGATGCAAACCTTGTAATCTCAGCAGGAGACAGGAGAATTAGAAATGCAGGGTTATCTTCAGCTACATAGAGAGTTGTAGGCCAACCTGGACTACATGAGACCCTGTCTCAAAAAAGAAAAGAAAAACAGCCCCCCAAACAAACAACGCCCCTCCCCCAGAACTCAGAAGTAGTGGATAACAGGAGTAACCAAGATGTGCCAGCTAGTCTTCAGCTGGTGGGATGACTCTCTAGAGCAGAAAGCTCATCACTGAAGACGATCCCACCATAGCCTGGGAGCCAGTCTCTAAACACTTGCTTTAAAAGGCCAGGTCTATGTTTGAATCCTTTGCTAGATGCTCTACCTAAAATCCTCTGCAGCAGCTGGGCCTGGCAGTACACACCTGTAATGCTAGCACTGGGGGAGGCTAAAGCAGGAAGAACTTAAGTTCTAGACCAGCCTGGGCTGCAGAAGACCTATCTCCAACCAACCAACAAACCAACCAACCAAACAACCAACCAATCAGCCAGCCAGCCAGCCAGCCAACTAAAAACATCCTCGTAGCTATAGTGACAGGACTCATCACTGAGACAGAATACGATGGAGCAAAGGCCAGATTCTGCCAGCAGCCTGCTTCTACATGCTAAGGTATTGTCTGTGCATGTTGCCTGCTCCAAAGATGAAGGCACAAACAATAGTGACAGACACTGTCTGGCCTGCAACGTCTAGAACACATTATCTGGTCCTTTCTAGAGAGTTCATCACTGCTTACTATGGAATATACCAGGTGATGTAAACTTCTACACACGCAGAACAGGTACTGGGAGAGCCTGTGATAAGGAATCTGTGGTTCCTATTTTCTCTGCAAGTGTATGTATGTGTAATGTGCATGTGTGTGGATGGACATGGGTGTACACAAGTACCTGTGTGCATGTGCATGTGGAAGCCAGAGACTGATGTTGGGTGTCTTCCTCATCACTGTCTATCTTATATATCGAGGCAGAGTTTCCCATGTGAACCCACAGCTTGCTGATTTCACTATAGACTGACTAGCCAGCTTGTCCAGGGATCCCCTGTCTGTACTACCCTATAGCTGGTATTGTAGGTGGACTGCCACACTCACCCAGAATTTATGTGGCTCTGGAAGTCTAACGTGCACCTGTCTTCTCCACATCCACACATTTAGCAAACAGCATGTCAGCTTGACATGAAATGTTGCGAGTGTATAACTGTAGAAACTCACAAAGGCTACTGGTCGGGCCTTCCTGGCAGCAACAGGTTGGTCTGTTAACTTATTAGCATACTATGGGATAGAGATCACTTTAAGATATGCTAAAGTTCAAAGATATAATCATGGCATTTTAGATAGTTTTAGATTAAAAATATTTCAGGGCTGGCAAGATGGCTTAGCAGGCAGGGGTCCTTGCTATCAAACCCGAGTTTGATCCCTGAAACTCACATGGTGGAAAAAGAGAACTGTCTTCCTAAGGTTGTTCTCTGACTTCCACATACTGTGACATGTGAGCGTGCATGCGCGCGTGCGCACGCACACACACACACACACACACACACGTACACAAACAGATTAAAAACAAATGTAAAAACATTACACAATGAGAGTATTTGGGGATGACTTCAATGCTGGTGTATCTGCTTTTTTCTTCTTTTGGTGTTTTTGAGACAGGGTGTCTCTGTAGTCCCAGCTGACCTGGACTTGCTATGGAGACCAGGCTAGTCTTGATCACAGAGATCTACCTGCCTCCACCTCTCGAGTGCTGAGATTAAAGGTGTGTGCCTCCATGCCTACTCATATCCTCTATTATGAAGTTTTCTTCAAGTTTCTACCCATTGGGTCAAAAAACAGTGTTACTATCAGATCTTTGATAATCCTTCTAATACTTTCCCAGATTTCCCTAATACTGTTGGAATATAAACTACAGTAACCGATGCTACTGTAAACATAGGATGCATGTTATCACTCTTAGTATGGAATAGGAATATTTTTCAAGGCTCAGTATCTCTGTGTTTGATAACTCCTTTAGCTAAATTAACAACATGAAAATATACTAGAGAGGAAAAAAAGTCTGTGCTATACCAGAGTGTGGAAAATATCTGCAATAAATTCCCAAGGCCTGGCCTGTGTAGAGCAGTCAGTCGTTCATTAAGTAACAACTGGACCAGTTCACTGAGGAATAGAAGACTGATTCTCAAGGATAGGATAAAAAGGATGCTTCACTTACCCAGTTCAATACAGGTAATCCCCAGAGACCAGACATCAACTTTCCCATCATACTGTCCTTCGTCCATGGCTAAGATCACCTCAGGAGCCATCCTACCAAACACAACCACAGAACTCAAGTTGCCAGGTAAGAATAAAATTCCCGTTATAAAGGAATTCAGTAGAGCAAATTTAAGGACATTTCAAATTTTTAATGTTTGTTGTAGTATTGTTCACAAAGCTGAGACATAAAGTAGCCCAGATGCTCATAGATGAATGGATAAAGAAAGCGTGGTGGATATGCACAATGGAAGATTAGTCAGCTGTGAAGAAGAATGAAATCATGTCATTTGTAGGCAAATGGATGGAACCAGAGATCATCACATTAAGTGAAATAAGCCAGCCTCTCCTGTGTGTGTGTGTGTGTGTGCACGTGTGTGTGTATGTGTGTGTGTGTGTGTGTGTGTGCGTGTCATGAAAGCAGAAAGGGGACTATTTGTGGGGGGAAGGGGACCAGGGGGAGGTAACATGGGAGAGGATGAGGGGGTGATTCTAAGCAAAGGACACTATATGGCATAGAGGTAGGAAAGGGGCATGATGGAATCCACTGTTTTGTATACCAACTGAAAAAAATTGATTTAAAAAAAGAATTTTTTTTTTGTGACAGATGTTTCCTTACATAACCCATTTTTAGGAACAGTATGTTATTCTCAATAGATCCTGGTTCTCCTCTGCACTCTGGGCTTGTTTTTTGGATCAGTTACCTATATGTACACCAGGTTCTTCCTCTATAAAATGGAGAGACCTGTCATTGTTACCTCGCAGAGACTTGCAAAGGATTGACATGTAGCCAGCACAAACAAAGAATTACTTTAAAAACAGAAAAATATCTGATGGGGTGACATAAAGTAAAGTTATCAACTATCCCAAAGACACTGCAACTTACAGAACACGGGCTCTGGTTATAAGTGTCACTATTTGTTTGTCTGGGATACAGTTTCACAGGAAGGGAAGGGTCCTGAGTTTGATATGCTATATTCTATTATTATGTGTCAGCACCAGCTGGTAAACTCTGTCTTATGAGGAGAGGCGAAGTCAAACAGCAGCTGGTATTAGTGGGTAATTTTCCAGCATATAAGTTTCTCAAAGCTACATTATGATGTGTTGGTGATAGTTAGGAAACAAATATGAATGTAGGAGAACAACTTTAAGTCAGTCGGGGTCAAGGCAGATGATGTGTCAGGGAGCTTGGTAGAGTCAGGAACTTGGATTTCTTCTATTCCTCTCTGGTAGCCAGCCAGAGAAAGCTGAGGAAGCTCTCTTGTCCCTTGCCTGGACACTGAGCCTCCAGGGAACAGTTCAAAAGCGACCTCAAGCGAAACCTAAAGCTAACTTCTCAACGGTTGGTAGCACTGTTGTTAACACACAAAGCAGACCCAAAGTCAGCATCTTACTTGAGCAATTTAAGGTCATTCTAAGTTTTATTCTAAATCAAGTGTTTCTCCTTCTTTTTTGGATTATTATTGTTTTTATTATTATATTTTGGCTAACGAGTTTTCTTTTTTTAAAAAAATATTTTATTATTTTATGTGTATGCCTGCATGTGGGTGAGTGCACCTGTGTCCTGCAATGCCCGCAGAGAACAGGAGAGGCTCAGATCCCCTGGAACTGGAGTTACAGACAGTTGTTAGCTGCTACGTGGGTGCTGGGTTTTGAACCTGGATCTTCTGCAAGAACAGGCAGTGTTCTTAGCTGATGAGCCATCTCTCCAGCCCCCAGCTAATGAGTTTTCTAACCTTCTCAAATAAAATTTCATTTAGGGGCAGATGGGGAACACATGTTAAGAGATAAAACCAGGCCAGCTTGGTGGTACAGGCTTGTAACCTTAATTCCTCCAAAGGTTGAGGTAGGAGGGTTATAAATTGAAGGCCTGCCTGAGCTACAGAATGAATTTAAAGCCAATCTAGATAACTCAGTGAGACCACATCTCAAAATAAAGAAGGCTGGGGATGCAGTTCAGTGGTAGAGCACTTGCCTAGCATTCTAATGCCTCAGGTTCCATCCCTAGGACGATAAAACAAAACAAAACAAAACAAAACAAAAAACAATGATACCAAGTGTCTGTCCTGCTCATTTACATCATCATCATCATCATCATCATCATTATTATTATTATTATTATTATTTGGCCTTTTTTGAGACAGGGTCTCCCTGTAGCCCCAGCTGGCCTGGAACTTCTTATGTAGACCAGGCTGGACTTGAACTCACAGAGATCCACCTGTCTCTGCCTCCCAAGTGCTGGGACTAAAGGCATGCGCCACCATGCCCAACCTCATTTGCATATTTAAGCCTACATCATTACACCTTCTAAGTGTACATACCAGTAAGGCGTGCCCACAAAAGAGTTGGCAGGAGAAGCCATAGAGGCAGATCCAAAGTCAGCTAGCTTCACCTGGCCTGGCTCTGTTAGGAGAATATTTCCTGCTTTAATATCCCTATAGGAGGAGGAAAGGAAGAGGATTAGAAAATTACTTTTCAATTCTGATTATGGAATAGGTCAGAGCATGCAATTAATAAGATAAAAAGTTTATTAAAGAAGACAAACAAATGTTGCTCAGCTGGCCAGAAGGGGACTTAAAAGTTACTGCGTGTTGTAAGGGAACCCGGATTCCTGGGTGTAATTACTGCTAGGTAGAGCTGTATTCAGAGGGAGGGGGTACATGGAGGGAAAGGCAGCCACGGTAGTCAAAGAGGGCCCTTAGGCTGCTATCTTTACAAGGCCTGTTCTTAAATGCTTAACCCAGCTACCAGCAATAGTCCTTGTGCTGGGAAAATTAGTGTCCTATTGTAACAGCCTTTTTTCCCCTTCCAACTTATGTGACATTTTTGGCACCTGAACAAATCCAAGCTGTCTGTATTGTCGCCCTAACCAACAATCCTCAGCTACACACATACCTTTGCTCTCTTGCCTGTGACCCTTCCTGTGTTTAACTGTAACTGCAACTCTAAGGCATAGGAGGAACATATTATATAGGAGGTGTTATTTGAAAAAATAACACTGTACAGTAAAAAGAAGATCCTGAAAGACCAAAACAGACAAGGATTAGGGGTTAGGAAATTACATTTCAATGTATTATTATAATGAATCACAACTGGTTTGTTACTAAAGATATTAGATCTTCTATGCAGCAAAATGTTTGGAAAATATGATTGAACAGAACGCATCCTTCACTGCGGTGATTTAGAAGGGGAAGATGTGGATGTCCCCCTTATATATATATTTTAAGATATGAGGTGTAATGAGGAATAAGAACCAAGTGGATGGGCTGTGGAAAGACAAAGCCAAGAACATGGCAAGGTGAAAGCGGTCAGGTGAAATGCTTCCAAAACCTTTGCACAAACGTCCCTTGAAAATGTAGTTTCTTCCTTATGACGGCATTGGGGATTGGCAGAGAGAACTAAAGAAAAAGTGTTATTTACATCTCTTTATAACACAAGCTTTTATCTGTCTCTCTTTTTAAGTGGAAGACTGAAATGTCCCTCAAAACAACAAAAAGCTGAGACATGGTTTTCACGTTTTGCTTTAAGACTGGGTCACATGCAGCCTTGACCTTCTGACCCTCCTGCCTCTACTTCCCAAGTTCTGGGACTATAGGGTTGTGTTGCCATGCCTGGTTATGGTATTCCTTTTTATTTATTTTTGCTATGTAGACCAGGCTAGCCTCAAACTCACAAGAGATCTGCCTGCCTCTCCCTGCTGAGCGCTGAGTTAAAGGTGTGTGCCACCAAGCCTGGCTCAGTATTCACTTTTGAACTTATATAACATTCTTTAAATTTTTTTGTCTGCTTAACTTCTTTTATAAAGAATATGTGGATTACAGTAATAAGCACACACACAAAACTAAACTGGGGTTTCAGATAAAAGCCAGCAAAATTACATTGCATTCAGCCATGATACCCTAGTTCCAAAGGAACACATTTTAAAAAGTTGTTAAATTCATTGATACTATGCTAAATGTATTTAATCAATAGTTCCCAGACATGATTGGGTCCATTCTTTGCCTGCTTGCTTTATCTTTTGGTGGAGCTGGAGAGGGAAGCCATGGCCTTGTGTATGCTGGGCAAATGCTGCACTAGGGAGCTACATACACCCTAGTTTATCACTCCTCATCTTTATCCGTCAGTCAAATTCCAGGCAAGGCTGGGTGTGTGTGTCTTAGGGAAGCTCTGCTCTCCTAGCAGCAGTCACCGGTAACAGAGCCTCTACCGTGACTGAAGCAGAAGCCAAAGGAGGAACCGCAACCAAGTGGTTTCACTTCTTCCTGGTAAATGCCAAATGCTTCTTTTTATGTGTGAGCGCTTCAGTCCTTCGTGGGGACCTGACATCCTGCTACTACTGATGAAAGCAACAGCTAACAGATATGTGCTGGGAGAGGGGAAGCCTGGTGACAGGGTTTCCTTTAGAAGTGGCCAGACGGAGGACAGAGGGAGGAGAGGGGAGTATGGTGCAAAAAACAGCATTTAGAGGCTGGGATGCAGCACAGAGGTAGAACAATTGCAGGTTCTAGCATGCCCCTCTCCCAGAAAGAGGAGGAAAATGAAGTAGAAGAAATCCCGAGATAACTGGGTTAGGAAATTCGACTTTCAATCCTTGCTCTATTAAGTGCTGTAAAATTACAGGTGGGTTATTTACACCTTTCTAAGCCCCAGTTTCTTTACCCATCAACACAAAGCGAGTACCTTCCTAAGCATATATTTATGTGGATTTTAGGAATGTGAAATATTTTAAGTAATGAGGCGGCATCTATTTTTTATAAGATAAACATGCTCCTTGCAATAGGGAAGGCAATAATTATGTGCAAGGAAGGTTGATTTTCTTCTGTTCTTGACATAGAAGCAGAGAGTCACTGGGGCCTTCTTAAAATTTTCCTGCACCTCAGCCTAGAGAACAGCTACCTACAAATGAAGTCAGGCATGGGGTGCACACCATTAATACCAGCACTTTGAGGCTGAGGCAGGGTAAGTGGGAGATCTGCTTGAGATACCCAGTGACAGCCTGACTACATAGTAAGCTCCAGGATAGCCTGGGCTGCATAGTGAGACCCTGTCTTGAGGGAAAAAAAATACAAAACAAAAATCACAACAAACAATCCCTCCCCCAACAACAAGCAAACGGCCTCCAATTCAGAACAGTGATGATATCGTCTAGAACGATGGACAAGGTGGGAACTATCAGTTTGCTTCCTGTAAATGCTCAGGTGGTCTGAAAGCTGGAGCATGAACTAGTATCCAAGGTCTCAGGACTACAGAGCCAGGAAACTGCAATGGAAATGAAGCTGGGGTCCAGTCTTACCTGTGAATCAGTGAATGGAAGTGGAGGTAGGCCAGCCCCTGCAAGGCACCATGAGTGATGGCAGCAATCTCTACTTCCTGAAGTGGTTTCTTATGAACTGGGGAGAGAGGAGAGGGGGTCAGGAGGGATGATCCATGGGGCCATCCAATGTCACAATGCCACAAAGTTCCATATGCTTTATCAAAGACAACTTGAGACACACCCACCTAAATACGTGGCATACACATCTTATATAGCACAACAATAAATGAGAAACCAAGTGCACAATAATGAAACAGAATAGAACAGACCTGACATTCATGAAGCGATGCAGTGTTAAATTATGGTCAGTTATGAGTCAATGCTACACTGATTCTGCTGGACCGGGCCCTGATCTGTCAGTCCCTCATGACAGGTTAAATGCATGCAGTGTGCTGGGTCACACTATTCTCTACTATGAAACCACCTATAATTACCCCTCTAACTGCAGGCTTTCATTATTTGGGAAGGAGGCTAGGAGGCTAAGAAGTAATTTCTACTCAGAGATCACGGATGATAGCAGACATTTTTAAATGTAAGTTTTAACCATTGCCACTAGTTCCAACAGCACTGGTAGAGGAGTGTTGGGTCAGTCTGATACTGGAAAGTGTTAAATATCAATACAGGTTGACAGTACCTCCATCTCTCTCATATATACATGAAATTTGATGCTTTTGGCTACATAAATACATCACATTAACTAAACATTTCAGCAGTACCTGCCCTGGATCCCTGGATAACCATGAACTCAGCACAAACAGGACTGTGAACCCTACCCAGATATGTCAGTAACACTGCAGAGGTGATATCTGCACAGCTTACCCACACAACCTTTATTATCATTAGAAGCCCAAGCTGTACCCTGTCTACAAGTAGATAACATTCTTTTTTAATTTTTTAATTGTGTGTTTGGCTATGTATCTATGTCTGTGTGGGTATATGCACCTGAGTGCTGGTGCCTATAGAGGCCAAAAGAGAGCACTGGTTCCTCTGGAGCTGGGTTTACAGGTGACTGAGCTTCCTGCTCTGGGTGCTGGGCACCAAACTCAGGTTCTTTACAAGAGCAGTACACACTCTTAACTGCTGAATCATTTCTCCAGTCCCACAGATAACATTCTAATTGAGGTAAAATAGGAAGGAGGGCACAGAGCTTTCATTCTTACCTTCTAACAAGTCAGAGGCTGAGCCTAAGCAGTACTCCATCACCAACTGTAACAGATTAAAAAAAAATCAGAACAAAAAGTTAGTAAGAAGTTCCTCAAATCAACCAACCAATGAGCCAGTCAACCAGCCAACCAATCAACCAACCAGCCAGACAACCAGCCAGCCAACCAGCCAGACAACCAACCAACCAACCAGCCAGCCAGCCAACCAACCAGCCAACCAGCCAGACAACCAACCAACCAACCAGCCAGCCAACCAACCAGCCAACCAACCAACCAACCAAACAGCCAGTCAACCAACCAACCAGCCAACCAACCAACCAACCAACCAAACAGCCAGTCAACCAACCAGCCAGACAACCAACCAACCAACAAGCCAGCCAGCTAACCAGCTAATCAATCAGTCAGCTAACCAGCCAACCAACCAACCAATGAAGGTACTAAGAATATTAGGAGGATAGACATTCTGCCTCACCCAAACCTGTCCTATTTAATTACCTGATATGAATTTTATAATTTTCCACATTTCAGTTTCTGTTATCTCTCACTTGAATATGATTGGATATGGAAATTTTCACTGTGGGGATGGTCAAGCTGAGAGTGCCAGTTCCCACCTGTTCCCTCCCTCCCTCCCTCCCTTCTTTCTTTTTCTTTCTTTCTTTCTTTCTTTCTTTCTTTCTTTCTTTCTTTCTTTCTTTCTTCCTTCCTTCCTTCCTTCCTTCCTTCCTTCCTTCCTTCTTTCTTTCTTTCTTTCTTTCTTTCTTTCTTTCTTTCTTCCTTTCTTCCTTTCTTTCTTGTCATTTTGAGACAGGGTCTTCCTATAGCCCCAGCTGGCCTGGAACTCACTATGTAGACCAGTCTGGCCTCGAACTCACAGAGATTCGTCTGCCTCTGCCTTCCAAGTGCTGGGATTAAAGGCGTGTGCCACCACTCCTGGCCTGTTTACTACTTTCTACATTGTCCTGCTTTATAAAGGGTTTTAAGTGGCTAGGTTTTACTCTAAGTTAAAAATTATAATTTAGAAACTGTCAAGAAATACAAAAGCCAGTAAAATCTGTGTTGGTAAATATAGGCTAAAGAAAATAAATCTCATGCAAAGCCTTGGGTTCAGTATCCAGCACCAAAAGGAAAGAGGAGGACCTCAGTCAGGAACCAATCTTTGGTTTCACATTCTCAAAGCTTGACACAAGAAACAAATATATCTTTGTAGGACTCAGTCTAAAGATGTGACATTACCTTGAATCTGAGTGATACTGGAGATTTTAATTCATATCTCAAAAATATTTACTAGAGGGGCTGAGGGGATAGCTCACTTGGTAAAGTGTTTGCCTTGCAAATATGAGGACCTAAGTTCAATCCACAGAGTCCACATAAAAATATCCTGGCATGGTAGTACGTGCTTGTAATTCTAGCCCCTGGGAGGCAGAGACAGGCAGATCCCTGGGGCTTACTGGGTGGAGAACCCTAATGTTCTGTAGAGTTCCAGTTCTTGATTGTATGGCCATGAGGCAAACAGCGAGCTGCAGCTGCTGCTACTGCCCAGCATTGCCAGAGAGGCCTGTACCGCACATGTCAACCCAGAAAAAGATGAAAATTCAAAATGTGACTACAGTTTCTTCCTGTATCAGCTGCACACCACTGTGAAGTCACAGAACTGAGAGTTGAATCACCAGAAGTTGGGACACATTGTACACAGCTTTAAAACTGAACAGGATGAATACGTTTGTGTTTTTATTTTCTAAGAATTGCATGCTATAAACCCCAGCATTGTTACAAATGTTCCCAACAGAGGGATGCTTTTGGAAGCCATTGTCAAGAAATTCCAATGGACTCTCATATGAACATTTGAAAATTGCCCTGTTCTGACTTTTTTCTAGTTCCCTGTCTAGAACTTGTAATGCTAATTACTCTTGCCTTTACTTCTCCTTCACATTCCTATTCACCAGTCAAGGACTTTTTTTTCCCCCGTACAGATAAGAGTTATGCAATTTGGGAGTCTTTTAGATAGACCCACTGAAGGGGTTCTCCAACTGCCTCACCCTGCGTCCCAGTTCAGTATGGAAGAAGCCAGAGCGGTCTGCGTCCTGATTCCCTATCCGCAAGTTGGGTAACCTCTTCAGAGGATGATAAGAATAGGAGGTAGGAATTGGCTAGGCAGTTAGGGTAAAAAGACCCCAAAGAAAAGTAGCCAATTTCTTGGCTAAAACTCACAATGTCCTTGGGTCTCTTAGCAACATACTCCGTTCCAAAGGCCAAAAGTGTCGAAAGTATTTGGGAGCTTTTATCTAATCCTTAAAAGATTTTTAGGGTTACCTCTTTGGGGGGGGGGGAATGTTAGAGTAGCCAAAAGCCCCATAAAATAAATAAATAAATAAAAGAAGAAGAAAGAGGGTCTGGAGAGATGGCTCAGCGGTTAAGAGCACTGACTACTCTTGCAGAGGACCTGGGTTTGATTCCCAGCACCCACATGGTGGCTACAAACCATCCTTAACTCCAGTTTTAGGGGAATCCAAAGCCCTCTTCTGACCTCTGCAGCATTGCATGACACAGGTATACTCACATGCATATAGGCAATACACTCATATACAAAATAAAATAAAATATTAAAAGAAGAAAGAATATATGAAAAAAGAAAGAAACAGAGGATCTTATCAGAAAAGAAGTACCAGAGCGGTCTGCGTCCTGATTCCCTATCCGCAAGTTGGGTAACCTCTTCAAAGGATAGTGATAAGAACAGGAGGTAGGAACTGGTTAGGCAGTTAGGGTAAAAAAAAAAAACCAAAGAAAAGTTGCCAGTTTCTTGGCTAAAAGTCAACATGTCCTTGAGCCTGTTAACAACATACTCTGTTCCAAAGGCCAAATATGTTGAAAGTATTTGGAAGCTTATATCTAATCCTTAAAAGATTTTAGGGTTACCTCTTCAGAGGGGGGAATGTTAGAGTAGCCAAAAGCCCCATAAAAATAAATAAATCAAGGAAGAAGAAAGAGCACATGAAGTTATCAGAAAAAAAATGGCGGGGAGATATGGGAGGAGTTAAAAGGGAGAAAAAAAAAAAAAAAAAAAAGGAAACAGGATCTTATCAGAAAAGAAGTATCTCAAGATACGAGAACTAATATTTTAGGACCAACTTCTCTTTTCCAACAGAATCTTTACAGAATTATAGATAAGACTACAAGTACTAGATCTAGCTTGCTATTATCTTTCAGAGTGATTATATAATGAATTAATACATGTAAATAATTCAGTGTAGAGATTGTTCCATAACATATGTTAAAATCTTTGCTTTTACTAAGGAAAAAAAAGAATTTAAGAAGTCAATGGGTGAAGTGGCATGGAACTTTTAAGACAGCACTGAAGCACTGATTAACAATGTTTCAAATTTGTAAGTGCTCAACTTTTGAATATCTCTATTATAAATAAAGTTTGAGCATGCACCAAAAACAAAAACAAAAACCAAACAACAACAACAAAAAAAAAAACAAATGCTCTTTTCTTAGTACATGGCACAAAGGCCCTGACCTGCCTGCTGGCTCCTGACACTCGGCTAGGACACTGGGCAGCTCTAGCTGCTCTGTCTTTAACTGAGCAGATCTGCTTCTAGTTATCTTCACATCTTCCTTGTGGCCAGATTATGCTTGTTCCTGTTCATCTGTATGCATCTTGCATCTCAGTTCCTAAGAGCAGCTTCTAATTAGTCTGTCAAACCAGTTGTAGATGGAAACCAGGTAACCAAGCTTATGAGCACTCCATGTAACCTAAGAGTTAAACAGGCTTCGAGGAAGAGCTCCAAGGGTTTGCTCTTGGCTTTTGTAGCATTTATCCTGCTTGAGTGAAATCTCTTTCTAGAGTCACCTGTCTGCTGAGACTGTGGAGACCAACTGATTTCCAGATAAGATGCTTAATTTCTTCTGTTTAATTTCTGATTAATTTTTTCTGTTTGGAAGGAAAACAATAGTTCTAGATAGCTTAAGAGTTGGTAGGGGATTGAAGGGATGGTTCAGTGGGTAAAGTGCTTGCCTTGCAAGCATGAAGACTTGAATTCTGTCCCCATATTTTCACTTGGCATGGTAGTGGTGTCTATAAACCCAGTGCTGGGAAGATGGAGACAGAAGGATCTCTCAACTTAACTGGCCAGCCAGTCTAGCCAATTGGTTCTGTCTCAAAATTCAGGGTGGAGAGAGACTGAGGAAGACATCCAGTTTTCAGCTACACACACACACACACACACACACACACACACACACACACACACACACATACAAATTGCTTGAACAGAAATGCTTAAATATACTATTTGGGACAAAAGTTTCAGGGCTGGAGAGATGGCTTAGTGGTTAAGAGCACTCACTGGTCTTGCAGAGGACCTGAGCTTAGTTCCCAACACCAGGGGGTCTGACATTCTCCGGCCTCTGAGGACAACTGCCCACACATGGTGCACATAAACTCATGCAGGTACACACACATACACATAATTAAAAATAAAAAATATGGGGCTGGAGAGATGGTTAAGAGGTTAAGAGCACTGGCTGCTCTTTCAGGGGACCTGTGTTCGATTCCCAGCACCTACATGGCAGTTAACAACCATCCATCGCTCCAGTTCCAGGGTAATCCAATGCCCTCTTCTGACCTCTGTGGGCATTGTACAACATCAGTACACTTACGTTCATACAGGCAATATAGTCATACACATAAAACAATAATAAGTAAACCCCCCCAATATTTCAAAACTTCCATTTCCCATTAAAGATCACATACCAGAAAGAACTTGGTACACGATAAGCACTTAATCAATGATAGTTAGAACAAACTTAAGTTAAGATGTTCAGCCTAATAAACTACAAAGTTTAACACTTTTATGTTCTAAATGGTATGTAACATGTCAGCCTTAAACGGTATCACAGTGACATAAAATATACCAAGACTGAGTAGTACAAAAGACCATTTCAGTCAATCACACAACAGTGCTGTTTAGTAAAAGTACATAGTAGAGGTAGCATCAAGTGCAATCCCAAATCTTTGGTCAAATGGAATGGAAAGAGGGATGAAAAATAACAATGATGAGAATTCTAGGAACATGGCCTCCAAGATGGCTCAACAGGTAAAGGTGCAGTTAAACCTGACAATATGAGTTTGATTTGCCCAGGACCCACACGGTGGAAGGAGAGAACTGACCCCTGTGAGTTGTCCTCTGACCTCCACATATACTCTGTGGTACATGTGCACACATAAAATAAATGTAATAAATTTTTTAAAAAATCTAGGATGATACTCAAGGGGCTTGAGTTTTGCTTTTACAAGATGATATTAACTTTTTACTGTCTTTGCTAAATGTTTTCAGAATAAAGTTTCCAGTAGGCTAGACACCATAGTTAGTCTTATGGAATGTGTACCATAGAAGCACTAACAAGTATTAAATGTCAATAATAAAAGTCAATGGGACAGAAATGGGATTCATAATTTTATAGTGCAAATAAATATAAAAAGTATTGAATAGGACTAGAGAGGTGGCTCAGTGGGCAAGAACACTTGCTGTTCTTCCAAAGGACCCAGATTCGATTTCCAGCTCCCACATGGCAGCTAATAACCATCTACAACTCCAGTTCCAGGGGACCTGACACCATCTTCTGGCCTCTGCAAGGCATTGCACACATGTGGTGCAGTTACATACATGGAGGCAAAACATTCACACACATAAAAAATTAAAAATAGCTGGGCGTAGTAATGCACACCTTTAATCCCAGCACTCAGGAGGCAGAGGCAGGCAGATCTCTGTGAGTTCAAGGTCAGCCTGGTCTACATAGTGAGTTCCAGGCCAGCTGGGGCCTGGGAGACCCTGTCTCAAAAAAGACCAAATAAATAAACAAATAAAATAAAATAACATTTAATACAAAAAAGAGAAGAGCGATGCTCTGACTTACCCATGCAGTGTGCTCTTTTAAATAACAGCCTTTGTACTCAATGGTATTAGGGTGCTTCAGCTGCTGCAAAAATTTAACTTCTTTAAGAATATCTTGCCATTTCTATAGAAGTCAGAAAAACAGTCTCATTTTTAAAGTGCAAACAGTATTTATCAAGCGTATATATAGATATAGATACACGCATGTTCTTTTACCATGTTAAATGGACATGAGGTCAATGTTAAATGAATAAGCTATATACCTTGTATTATTTCTTCAGTCTAAGTATGTTTAAGTGCAAATCTCTCATCAAAGATACCAAAATAAAACCACTACATACATCCATATTCTATTCTGGAAATAGTTCACTAAGGTAGGAACTTTTCTTTATGTCCCAGAGGAAGAAAAACATTGTGATTCTGATATTTTTAAATAATTGGTTGTTTTGTTTTGTTTTATTTGAGACAGGACCTTGCTGTGTAGCTGAGGCTGTCCTTGAACCACAAAGACCTGCCTGCCTCTGACTCTGCCTCCCAAGTGCTTCATTGAAGACGAGTACCATTACACTCAGTTACCTTTTTTTTTAATGTTTAAAGAACTTTTTATGAATTTCTTTTCTGAAAGCTGTGCTCTGTTTTTAATTGACACATTTATAATCATGTGTATTTATGGGTACTGTATGTGTGTTGATACCATATATGGTTATGTTGTATAATTATCTGAGATGGTGTTTCCATATCCATCATCTCAAATATTTATAATTTCTCTGTGGTAAGGATTTTAGAATCCTGTCTTCTGCTGATTTTGAAATGTACATGGCAATACTGTCAACCACTGTTTCCCAACTCTGCTCTTCAGAACACCAGAATTTAGGTAAAGTTAACATCATCCTAATCTCCCATGTCAGCTTAGGTACATGTGGCTCTTCTCTCACCTCATGGGTCTGCTTCCCACTGTAGGACATTTTCTTAACTGCCACCACCTCATTAGTGTGAGCATTTGTGGCCTGTATTAAGAGAGAAGAAGAAAGATAAAAAGAATTGGTGATGTTGAGTCCTGGAACTTAAATACTGGATCAGATTTCCAACATACCATACTCACAGTTCAGCATCACAGTTTACAGATACTCTGATTGGCAGGTTACTGAGCCATTCCACTTTGATTTTATGGGAACAGTTTCATTTTATTTATTTATTTTTGTCTTTTTGAGACAGGGTCTTCCTGTAGCCCCAGCTGGCCTGGCACTGGCTATGCAGACAGAGATCCACCTGCCTCTGCCTCCTGCAGGCTGGGATTAAAGGCGCGTGCCACCACGCCTGGCTTTCTTTTTATTTCTTGCTGTACAACATGTACAAATTATAATACAAAAAAAGGGTCAGGCTTCAACAAAATATACACAGTCAGAAAGAAAGGCTAATTTACAAAATACCTATTTGGGCTTCTCCTTGTAGATGTCCAACAATGGAGAATCAGTTTAATACATAGGATGAAGCCTATAATGAAATGACCATTGAAGAACCAGACAGTTGGGCTAGGGAGATGGCTCCATGGTTAGGAGTACTGGCTGCTCTTGCAGAGGACCTGGGTTCTGTTCTCAGCACCCACATGGTGGCTCACAACCATCTCTAACTTCTGTTCCAGGGGATCTGATGCCCTCTTCTTGCCTCTGGGAGTTCCTGCATATACATGGTGCACACAAACTCACATAGGCACATAAACATAAAAATAAAAATAAAAAATAAATGCAAAGTAAAAAAGGATGAGTTGGACTGGGGAGATGCCTCAGAGGGTGAGGTATGTAAGAATGAGGGTCCTGAGTAGCCACTGGAAAGCGGGATGTGGTGCTGTGTGCTTGTAACTGCAGTGCTGTGGGGGGTGAAGGCAGGAGGAATCCTGGGGCTTGCTGACCAGTCAGCCTAAATAAAACATCAAGCTCCAAGTTCAGCGAAAGATGCTGGCTCAAGAAAAAGTGGACGTGATTGAGGAAGACACCCAGTATTGATCTCTGGCCTCCACACAGACAGCCACATAGGTGAGTGCACGCGCGCGCGCACACACACACACACACACACACACACACACACACGTGCACATGTATCCCCTCCCAAACAAGTTACAAGCACTACACATAAATGTGCAATGTGTATGTTTGTGAGGTGTATCTATGAATGGTGTCCTGTCTCAGTCTTCATACTCACTGTTCACATTCACTGAAATCACACAGAAAAGTCACGAATCACCCAAATGGTGCTTTTTCTCTCAATTTATTGAAGAAATTTAGAACCAATTTTCTTAAAATTTTCAAAATAATAAATACAAAGGTCATCAAATTTGGAGGTGAGGTGTGATGGCACACACCTTTAATCCCAGTACTCTGGAGGCAGAGGCAGGCAAATCTCTTTGCGTTTGAGGCTGGCCTGGTCTACAAATCAAATTCCAGGCCAGTAGGTGCTATACAGTGAGATCCTGTCTCAAAAACAAGCAAGCAAACAAACAAACAAACAAACAAAAGATCATCCACTTTGGGTTTTAACAGTGTGACACATTGCTGGTGTAAACATCCTGTTCTGAATGCCTGGTTTGTTATGGGTGCAGACCAATGAATGAATCTGCAGTGGTGGTTTTACAGCAGGAGATTAGAATTCACTCACTGATATCACAAGGTTATAATTTTATAGAAAAACTCCGGCTCATTTTCCTAAATACAACCAATTAAAGAAATTCCTCTATTTGAGGCTTTTAAAAATGATTTTTCAAAAAAACTTTATTTCAAATAGCCATAACTTACTGATGCAAAAAGCTCCACACCCAGATTCCTAAAGCCAAAGTGTAGGGAAAAGGGATGCAGGTTAAATTTTTTTCATTTTATTTTTAATCACGTGCATAGATGTGTGTCTATATATGTACACATTAATACTGGAACCCACAGAGGGTAGAGGTGTCAGATGCCCTGGAGCTGGAATTACAGGCAGTTGTTAGCCTCCTGATGTGGGTTCTGGGAATCGAACTCAGGCCCTCTGGAAGAATAGTACGTGCTCTTATTTTAGCCATCTTTCCAGCTAAAATAATTTTATATGCACTAAAATAACAGGACCTATGATATAAAATATACCCATTATAGTTTTCAAGTCTGCAGGCTTCCACAGAGGCATTTAAAAATATTTTATTATTTTTTTATGTGTGTGAGTATAATGCCTTCAAGTAGATAGGTGCACGGTGTCATACAATACCTGCAGAGGTCAGAAAGGGCGACAGATGCCCTGGAACTGGAGTTATGAACGGTTGTCAGCCATTATGTGGCTGAGAATTGAACCCAGGTCCTCTGCAAGAGCAGCCAGTGGTCTTAGCTGCTGAACCATCTCTCCAGCTCCTCCCCACCAGAGGCATCTTAAAGTAATTATTGACTTAGGAGGTACAGATTAGCTTTTAAAATATATTTTTAGCTGGGCATGATGACACATGCCTTTAGTCTCAGCACTTGGGAGGCAGAGGCAGGCAGATCTCTGTGAGTTTGAGGCCAGCTTGGTCCACATAGAGAGTTCTAGGCCAGCTGGGACTACAGGGAGACACTGTCTCAAAAACACGAAAAAAAATATATATTTTAATATTTTATTTTTATTATTTTTATTTTATGTGTATGAGTGTATTGCCTGCATGTGTGTTAGTGCACCAGTGTCGTGCAATGCTCGGAGATCAGAAGAAGGTATCGAATTCCCTGGGAACTGGAGTTATGGATGGTTGTTAGCCACCATGTGGGTGCTGGGAATCTAATCGGGTCCTCTGCAAGAGCAATCAGTGCTCTTAACTGCTGAGCCATCTTGCCAGCACAAAATATTTTATTTTATTTTATTTTTCTCTCCCCTTCCCACTCCATATTTTATTTTTTATTAAAATAAAATAATTTTAACATTAAGTCTGTGTTTTGATGATAGCAAATTAAAAGTTGATGCAAAAATTCATTATTATAGTAAAAGTCAAAGAGGCTATATTTGAAAAGTGGATTTTTTTTTTGGTGGTCTTTTTGAAACAGGGTCTCCCTGTACCTCCAGCTGGCCTATGTAGACCAGGCTGGTCTCTATCTCACAGAGATCCACTTGCTTCTGCCTCCCAAGTGCTGGGATTAAAGGCATGTGCTACCACGCCCAGCTGAAAAGATGGTGTTTTAAGCAAACATCTATACAACCTCAGCTGAGGAGCCAGAGGATGCAGAGAAAGTAACCAATGAGGAATGTCAACTTGTGATGGGATTTTACAAAAAAAAAAAAATATTTTTGTGTGTTGGGGACTGAACCCAGGGCCTAGTGCAAACTCTGTTACTGAACTATATTCTAACCTATAAAAAAATACCAAACTGTCAATGTTTATGAAAAGAGAACAGTAGAGCTACAGCTTGGTTGGAGCGCATTTGACCATTGTGTGTGAGACTTGGGTTCTATCCTTCAGTATCAGAGAACAGGACACAGGAGAGGGGAGGGAGGGGAGGAGAGGGAAGGGAAGAGGAGGGGAGGGGAGGAGAGGGAAGGGAGAAGAGGGGAGAAGGGAGAAAGCACAAATGGAATTAGAAAGTGTTATTAATTGCTCATTAATTTATAATCAATGCTGTTTGGAACTCATTTCTTACATTTACAGAATTGTCACTAATTGAAACTTGCTGAATGTACTTAATTATACAGTCTACACACTGGTGTAGAGATTGGAAATTTGAAAAACATTCCCATGTTGATTTTTCCTTTATATACCGAAGTTTTTGTATATATGTGTATACATAGGGCGTTGTACATATATGGTATATATGCACATGTGCATATGGAAGCCAGAGGAGGACACTGTGTGTCCTGTTCCCTCACTCTCTGCCCTTGAAACAGTGTCTCTCATTGAACCTGGAGCTTGATGGCAGGCAGTAAACGCCAGTAATGTTCCTGTCTACCCCCGATAGCACTCTGTGCTGTGTTTATAGGTGTGATGGGCATGCTGGCTTTGTAGATGAGTGCTGGGGATTTGAACTCAGACCCTCATGCTTGTGCAGCAAGTGCTCTCACCAGTGAGCCATCTCTCTAGCCCCAATATGTGAAAATTTTGGCTAGAAATTGGAACTAGTTACAAAGAAACTACAATAATGAATAAATAATAAATATTTTACGACCAGGAATGGCAACTCAACACATTCTCAGCTTTTCAGTGCCCCATACTGTATTCTGTGTGATTATAGTCTATCCTAGGAATTCACAGTCATGCTTAATATTCCCAATAGCCCTAATGGTCTTAGGAGCTGTGAACACAATTAGAAGCTGCAAACATACTTATTGAGAACTTACTATTATCTTTCTTTTTTGAGCCAGTTTTCAGCTGTGCCTTTCTCCTAGTTTGCAGAGAAAGATACCTACTTTTTCAATTTTATTTTTTTGGGTTTTTTTTCCCCAATGTATCTATATTCAGCTTTATTTTGAGTTAACCATCTATCAACAGTGCATGCCAAAAGAGTAGGAAAAAATTAAACGAGTCGATCAAAAAAAGGTCCCTGGCAAGTGGGAGGAAAGGATGTTACGTTAGGAGCCCTGCTTAGAGAAGGTAATGTTACCCGGATCCTGGATGTCATTTTTGTCAATGATCTGAATACTGAAGGTGGGCAGATTCAAGATGATGTGCTTCTGGAGCTCCTCACACATTTCCTGAGAAGCTTCATTGCCCTCTCACGTGAGACGGTTGGTGTGTAGTATCGGTCAAGGATACTGAGAGTCAGGAAGGCACCATAGTCATGAGCTGCAGAAGGAGCCTTGGCCATGGCTTCCAGGTGGTCCATGTAGTAAAGCACTGGCCCCCCATCTCATCATAGACAGTCAGGAAGAGGGTCACATGATACGGGGTCCAACTCCGAAGATAGCCAAGTTTTGATGGGTGAAATTAGTTGCTGCTGTGGGAAACAATTTATATCCATTCTGTATCTTATAAAGCTACACATTTTTCTGGATATCTTCTGCAAACTATATGGTGTCTCCAACCTCTCCA